AGCCATAAGCTATAAAGAGCTACGTCTGATCATGAATTAATTGAGGGAGTGGCACACACTAAATTTCTCTACAGACTATGGTCTCTAACCCTTACACAGGATCACACCCTCTTTCCAACATACTTTGTCATGATTATTTCACACTCACTCATTGTCACTGAGTTAGAATTCATTCAGACCCTCCAGTGGGTTTTCAGAGACTTATAAATAACACAGGAGTAGATTGCCTATGTTTCCCTCTTGGAGCAGCTGGTTTTCAACTGCTAGAGAGGCTCCGCCTTTGGGATAGCAGCACAACTCCCCAAGGAGCTCTCCCATGAGAGCTCATGACTATCTGTTGTTTGTTGTTAAGTGCCGTCGAGTTGTAGGCAACTCATAGGGACCGTATGAATGAAAGCCCTCAACACTTGTGTGATTTTTATCCTTCCTCCAGGTTCATAGGGTTTCCAGAGGCAAGCTATTTCAGAAGTGGATGCCATTCCTGCTTCCAAGCTTGTTTTAATCAGGGAGCTCCACCAACCACTGTCCACCATGTCTAACCATTAACGCATATGATACATCAGTGTCACAGTGTTCAGCTTCACAGCAACCACAAGTTACCTCTGTACGGCAAATGGACACACCAGGGCTATATGACCTAGAGAATGTTTGAATGAAAACAATGAAAAAGCAGGCCTGAGTGCCTCAGATTATCTAGTGCTGTTAAAATAGAAATGTGACAAATAGATGGAAGCTAGAAGTCCAAATTCACAATGATGCTCTAGAGCTTTCTCTTTGTTTCCTGGTTCTAAGAGCTTCCCAGGAATCTGAGTCCAAAGGATATACTCCACTCCTAGCTGGTTTTTTGGCTGTTCTTTTTTGCTGTTAATAAGGTCTCTGTCTCTAATCACTTCTCTCTCCTTTTGCCTCTTACAAGACAAGGGACAATGTAGGCCACTCCCAAGGGATGCTACAACAGATGAGAGCTATGACCTAATTAAGGGTGTAGGGTCTCACTCTAATCCCTGTACAACTGCTTGGCTGATCACATTTCAAATCACAACATGAAAAGTGATCACATCATTACACAACTGCCTCATTAACATCATAAACCAAAGACTAAACCCATTTTCTTCAAGCCAATTTTCTAGCCCAAGGTGACCCTCCATCAGGTGACTCAGTGGTACTCAACAACAACAACAGTTCTAAACTAAGGAATTGCAATAATATATAAAATTGTGTATTTTAAGTCAATACACAATTATAAAATTCACTGTGAAAACATCATTGACAAACTATTATTACAGCATAATTTTAAAAATGAACAACTAGAAGAATGCTCTCTAATATTTTTTACTTAAATTTTATATATGTGTAACAAAAATGAATTATAATCTGGGAAAATTCTCTCAACACCAAAAGAGACATGAGCTCTCTCAGAGATGAGGGAGGTCTGGTGGCCTAGTCCATAAGGAGCTGCACCGGTGACCCCCAAAATTGCACCTCTCTAGGGATTCAAATCCAACAGCAGTGCAATGGAAGAAAGATGGGAAATCTCCTTCCATGCAAATCACAGCCTCAGAGAAAACCCCCGGGAGAGTCAACTATGAGTTAATTCTGACTTGACAGCCATGAATTTCAGTTGGAGTATCATAAAATGAACGAAAATCTGAAAAAGATTCTCTAAGCACTGACCTGAATAGCTGGCACATCTACTGTCATAGCAGTTTTATATAATCAGAGATACTGTAAAAATATTTTCTCCTCAAAATTCAGGAAGACTTTTAAAAAATTCTCTGCACCCCAAAACTTGTTAATGTAAGGTCAATACTAATAGCACAGTTTTTGATCAATTTAGGTTTTTTTCTTTCATTTTGAGAAATAATTCCATCCCAGCATTATAATTTGAAACTAGGATATTTTCTGAATTCTTTTGTTACACTTTCAGAGTGCTCTTTTTGAGATTTTATATGAGTTTTTTTTAAAGCTTTTAAAAGGTAATACAATGTGCACCTTAAGTTCAGAACTCTTTAGTATTTAAAAATGTAGAACTAGGTTCATTGAAATAAAATAAATAAATACATTAAAAAAAAAGAGTAAAAAAATGTAGAATTAGGTAAACTGCTGTTAAGAAATTAGACTTAGACCAAGTGCCAATGGTAATGAAGGAAGAAGTTCAAATAGCAGTGAAGGCTTTAGCAAAAACTAAGGCCTCAGGAAATGATGGGATACCAATTGAAATGTTTAGACAGATGCAGCCCTGGATATGCTTACCAGTCTATGCCAGAAAAATGGAAGGAAAGCTACGTGGCCAACTGGTTGGTAGAGATCCATATTTGTTCCCATTCCCCAGAAAGGAGAGCCAACAGAATTTGGAAATTATCTGACAATATCATTAATATCACATGCCATCAAAATATTGTTGAAGAGCACCCAAAAGACAGAAGCTCAAGCTGGATTTAAAAGAGATCATGGCATCAGGAATATCAATGCTGATGTCAGATGAATCTGGTCTAAAAGCAGAGAATACAAGAACAGTGCCTACTTGTGCTTTATTGCCTAAGCAAGGACATTTGACTATGTGGATCATAACAAATTATGTCTAACACTGAGAACAACTGAATCACAAAACACTTAATTATGTTTATGAGAAACCTATACCAAGACCAAGAGGTTATATTATTCAAATAGATCAAGGGAACACTGTATAAAGTTAAGAAAGGTGTGCATCAAGGTTGTATCCTTTCCCCATGCCTTTAACATCTGTATGTTGAACAAATCATTCAAGAAGCTGGACTCTTGAAGAATAATGTAGCATCAGAAAAATCCTCTATAAGGACTTGAAGCACTTTCTGCAGATCAAGGAATCAACCTTCAATATGGATTGCAGCTCAACATCAAGAAAACAAAAATCCTCACTACAAAACTGGTAAGTAACATTATGATAGATGGAGAAGAGATAGAAATTGTCAATTATATCATCTTTCTTGGATTCACAATCAACACCCTTAGAACCAGCAGTCAGGAGATCAGGACACATAGTGCAATGTGAAAGTCTGCAGTCAGGGAAGGATGTGGATGTACAGGGGGAAGAGGGGATTAATCATTGGATTGTATAATTTGATGGGTGAGGGGTGAGGGAAATTTAAAGAATTTGTTCAAATTTGTATTAGAATTTTGTAAATAAACTAGTAAGAAAGTCTGCAGTCAGGAACCTCTCTAAATTATTGAAGAGTAATGATGTCAGTTTGAAGACTAAGGTGCACCTGATTCAGGCCATAGTCTTTTCAATCATTTGCTCTGCATCTGAGAGCTGGATAATCTATAGAGTTACAGAAGATGAACTGATGTCTTTGAGCCGTGTAATTAGAGTTCTGAAAATTCCATGGGCTGCCAAAAGAATAAAACGATATGTCTTCAGAAAAGTGCCATCAGAATGCCCCTTGGAGGCAAAGATGATAAAGCTTTGTGTCACATATTTTGGACATGTTGTTAGAAGAGGCTATTTCCTGGAAAGGGACATCATTCTTAGAAAGGCTGAGGATAAGTAAAAGAGGAAGACCCTTAACAAAATGGATAGACACAATGAGTGCAGCAATGGGCTCAAGCGTGTCAGGAATTATGAAGATGGGTCAGAATAGAACCGGGTTCAGATCTGTTGTTCATAGGGTCGCTACGAGTCATACTTGACTCGATGGCACCTAACAAAGACAACAACAGTAAATAATAATTTAAAATGCTATTTTTTTCCTTGACATTACATTTTTCAATTAGTGTATTTCCTCATGTATCGTTAAGAGTTTTTAATTTTAACTTAGATAATAAAACTTGAATAAAAAATTCATGTTAATAGTAGTTCACTTTGAAAAGTTTCAGTAATTTTTTAAAAAAAAATTGTAAATTTTCCAAAATTCATTTGCTGCGTACTTATTTACTGGTCAACTCAACTCATTGCTGTCCAGTCAGAACTGACTTACAGATCACCCTCCACTGGATTCTTGTTGCTGTAGATCGCACGGGAGCAGATTGCCCGTGTTTCTCCTGCGGTCACTAGTGGTTTCAAACTGCCAGACAGGTTCAGCTTTTGTCTTAGCAGTCCCTTCCTAGGGACTAGGCCACCAGATTCCAAGCCCATAGAGCACAGAGATTTTTTGCATTCTGGTGGTAAGGGGTTGTGCTGTCAACCTGAAGGCATGCAGGTCAAATCCATCAACCACTCTGAGTGGAAATGATGAGCAATCTCCTCTCATGTGATTTACTGCCTCTGAAAACTCACTGGGGAATCAGTTATGAGTTGGTTCGGACTTGACAGCACATAAAAACAACAGGAAGGTTTCTAACATGGCGTCATCTTGTTGAGCAATCCAATACAATTTCCTTAGTTTCTGAAAATTTGGTAGAAATCATCTGAATATGAAATGTTCAAACAAATAGTTCACAACACTCTCCTAAAATTTCTTGTAGTCAGTATTCTTTAGTCTATCTTTAATAACTAATTGTGGGATGAACTCCTAATTAAAGTGTGAGGGGGGGACATTTTTACCAGTTTTCCTTATAAACCTAGTCACTTTCACCATGCTCTACAATGGTTAATGTCTGCTAGTCAGAGTGAACTAAGTCAGCATCTTCAAAACTGTCACTTTGCCCTATAATCTGTCAGTTGATTTCACTACAATTTCTGAGAAAATCAACAGATTTTATCATGTTATAAGCATTATCCATGATTAAAGTCTACTGTAATTGAGTGCGTATTCTCACATTTGATACACAAAGATTTTACATACAGACCTGTATGTCTTTCTTTTAATTACTTTATTCTCAATGTCAACAAATGTATCTTACCCTCTTGTTGGAATGAGTGTTAATTCCTAGAATTGATTGACCCATTCTTCTGGCAGTTCGATACACTTTCAAAGAAAATAACCCTCCTTCTCATGTTATCAACTCTCCTCTCTTGTTCAGACATTTTACACTTAGGGATCTACTATATTTTGTAAAATAACAATGTGCATCTGATGGGAATGAACATCAAAGTGCCAGGTGAGAGTAATGCTATTTGTGGATGGTCAATCTTTTCCCATGAGATTTACAGCCTCTGAAACCCACTCGAGGGAGGGTGAGCTATGATTTAATACTGACTCACAGTAATGAGCTGTTGCATTCATAAGGACAATGAGTTTATCTCTTTCACTGCACAATAACATCTCTTAACTAAGGACTGTCATATATTAGTTGCAGAATAGATCATCTGGGACACTGGGCTGTACAAGGAGAAATGTGGCATCAGGATTAGTAGAAGATTTAACAACCTGCGTTATGCAGATGACCCAACCCTGCTTGCTGAAACTGAGGAGGACCTGAAGCGCTTCCTGCAGAGGGTCAAGGACTGCAGCCTCCAGTATGGATTGAAGCTCAACATCAAGAAAACAAAGATTTTCACTACTTGGCCAATGGGCAGCAACAGTATGGATGGTGAAGAGATTGAGAGAGTTAACAGTTTTAGTTTGCTTGGCTCCACAGTCAACACTCTTGGTTCTAGCAGCCAGGAAATCAAGAGATGAATTGCATTGGGAAAGTCAGCTGTCAGAGACCTCTCCAGATTACTGAAGAGCAACGATGTCAGTCTGTAGACTAAGGTGTGCCTGATCTGGGCTATAGTCTTTGCAATTGCGTGCTATACATCAGAGAGCTGGACAGTGACTAGGGATGATAGAAAGAGAATTGATGCCTTCGAGCAGTGGTGCTGGAGAAGAGTGTTTAATATACCATGGACTGCAAGAAGAACAAACATGTTTGTCCTCGAGAGGGTAAAGCCTGGCTGCTCCTTGTAGTCAGGGATTCTTAGGCTTCATCTGACATACTTTGGGCATGTTTCAAGGAGGGACCAGTGCTTGGAGAGGGACGTCATGCTTGGGAGAGGAGAGGGACAGCGCAGGAGAGGAAGACCCTAGATGAGATGGATCGAATCAGTGACTGGGGTAGTAGGAGTAGTGTGTCGGAGACAATGAGGTTGGCACAGGATAGAGCAGGGTTTAGGGCTCTTGTACCTAGAGTCGCTATGAGTCACAAGTGGCTCGATGGCACATAACAACTACAACATACCACAAAACATTTTTAATTACATGAAAGAATGGAAAGCATTGCTCTTAAATATCTCTTTTCCTATTACTTTGTTCATCTGTAGTTGATTTCTAAAAATAATTCGCAATTCTCTGTTTCTTAGTTTGCTTTCAAGCAGTGCTGCTTACCTCCTGGGATAGTGGGCAGTGAAGCAAATGTTACCCAGGCAGAGTCACACCTGCAGTTGTGAAGCGATTTAAGTAGTCAGTATGCTATATAATAACACACACAGCTGACTTGGTTCATTATGGAATTAATAACAACATGCCTCTGAAAACAATGAACTTTGATAAATGTCAATAGTTATAGAAATACTTCAGGCCTTTAGTTCATAGGGTTACTACGAGTCGTTCTCAACTTGATGGCAATCAATAACAACAACAATGGGCTCTATGAGGAGAAATGGGGCATCAGGGTTGGAGGAAGACTCATCAACAACCTGTGTGATGCAGATGACACAACCCTGTTTGCCAAAACTGAGGAGGACCTGAGGTATTTGCCACAGAAGGTCAAGGATTACAACATTCAATATGGATTGAAGCTCAACATCAAGAAAACAAAGATTCTCACCTCTGGGCTGATCGGTAGCATCATGATAGATGGTGAAGAGATTGGGATTTCTAACAGCTTCAGTTTGTTTGAAATAAAAACCCAAATTGCATTGGGAAATCTATCTGCTGCCAGGGATCTCTCCAGAGTTCTGAAGAGCAATGAGGTCAGTTTGTAGACTAAGGTGAGCCTGATGCAGGTCATGGTCTTCACAATTACTTGCTATATACATCAGAGAGCTGGAAAATGACTAAGGATGATTGAAGAAGAATCGATGCCTTTGAGTTGTGGATTGAACATTTCATGAACTGCCAAGAGAACGAACAAGTTTGTCTTAAAGAGGGTGAACCAGGCTACTCCTTGAAGACAAAGCTTTTGAAACTCCGTCTAATATACTTTGGGCATTTTGCAAGGAGGGACCAGTCCTTGGAGCGGGACATCATGCTTGGAAGGGTAGAAGGACAGCACAAGAGAGAAAGACCCTGGAAGAGATGGATTGACTCAGTAAATACTGAGGGTATTTGTGTAATGGTGGTATGCGTGTCAGACAATGAGGTTGGCTTAAGGCAGAGCAGGGTCCAGACCTGTTGTATACAGGGTCATTATGTGTCACGAGCGACTCGATGGCATATGTTGTTGTTGTTATGTGCCGTCGAGTCGCCTGCGACTCATAGCGACCCTATGTACAACAGCCCTAAACTC